AGAGTTCACTCAATGATGTAACTTATTTCCATTACAACTCATTAAGTTATTTTTTAAAAATAATTAGCGGTTTACTCAATGCAACTTTGTGTCTCTGACTCTGCAAAACACTGCAGCAGCATCCCTGCCATCCTACCCCCCAGTCGGCCCTGTTCTGCCCAGTCCCGTTTGTGAGGAAGATGCATAGAAGCGAAAAAGCCCAAACTCAGCTCACACTTCAAGCAGCAGGCTCCGTTCAAAGCTACTATAGAGCACTCCCATATTCCTTCCCCAAAGTGCCAGTTCCCTGGTACTAGCCTTGCCACAACTCAGAGAAAGGAGCAGGAACAACTCGATCCAACTTTGGAGATGGCCCTGCTTGAGGAAGGACTTGGACTAGGTGACCTCCAGGGCTCTCAAAGTGAGGTTAACAGGAGAAGAAACACAGTTAAGGTTTAGGTGGAAGCAAAGTGTTCCCCAATGCCAAACAGCCTCCCCTCATCAATTTGTCTACATTCATGTAGAGTGGAGATTCCCTGTAAAACACCAATGATGTTTGCAGTAAGCAAGCTCCCTTCCCACACACACCTTACGCAAACACATCAAAGCAAGGATTCATCAAGAAACAGGGGTGGGGAAGTTGTTTTATCTGCGGGAAAATTGCAGCTTTTTCTTCCCTGTCTAAGGCGAAAGTAACAAAAACTCCCTGCAAGGTGAAAACCTCCCTCTCCCCTCACCTCTAATCTGTGCAAGCTATGAAGGTCCATCTTAGCCCACTGTGCCTTCAGAGAAGCCTGGGTGCTCCTGGGTGCTCCCACACACTCACATTAGCCAGCACAAATCAAAAGTGCCCCAGGCAGCTCCTCAGGACCCGAAACAGATGCTGGGGGAAACCAGTTTGGACCAGCACTGTCTTTCAAGCAAAGCAGATGCAAAGTGTTGAAGTTGCATGACATAGCAGAAGACACTGGTCAGACAGCTCCCTAAGCCCACACCCAGTCCCAGGCACGGATCATGCCAGAAACCCTCCTGACAGTCAGCAGAGATGCTGGTATCTCTATTAAACACCTGCACTTGGAAAAGGTTATCACACAACTGACTCTGGTCATCAATCACATCACCTCCTGTTTTCTTCATTTACACGTTATTTTTGCCTTGGGTTAGACCAGGGTCTCCAAGATAGCAACTACATTTCAACTCTAAGCACAACACAAGGCTACTAGTTGCACATAAATTATATTGACTCCAGCAGGCAGCAACAGAATCTGATCGCAATGCTGGGAGAAGTAACACTTCAGAGAAGTTGCAGAATTTATTGGCTCTGCTCTTCCAACGTGTAACTTTTTACACTGGGAAAAAAACAAAAGGTGTATCCTGCACAAACTTAAGGATCAAGCTAAAAACACTTACACCAGTCCCAGAAGGAAAATTTACACTAAAATATGAACAAGAATTGGTAAGTTACCCATACGTTCTGATTAGGAGTGCAATGACTTTGCTGATCACACAACTTATCATTCCACAGAAACTCTATATTCAGGGCATGAAAACTAATGTATAAATTAGCAGAAATGCAAGTAGATTTGATGGTACTTGATTAACTGGATAGCAAGCACCAGAAGCAAAACATTAGGAAACTGAAGCCATTTTGTGACTGTAGCAGGCATTTAATAAAGATGGGAAAAAAAACAGCCATTACACAACACCCAAGTACTTTTGGTTTGTTTTAAAGAAAAAAGTCTCCTGTTCAGTACTAAACAGAAACCCTCAGCCTGAAATAAAGCAGGAGCTTTGAGAAGAGCCTTTGAACCAGGATTACTTCAACACCATCCACAGCATCAGAGAGTTCATGTAGCCTCCCAGAAAAAAGCAATTGCTTTTAAGTAACTCAGAAGCCAGTCCCTGTTGCCATCCCACTACTTGCTCCCATTCCCAGCCTGCACAGACAGCCCACCTGCATGTCCCATCACAGCCCCGTGGGGGACCTGGGCTCAGCCACTTCATCTCCCTGCTGCCAGTCCCCAACCTCACCTCTACCAAGATGCCAGAGCTTGCAGCCCTTTCCAGCTCAGGGGCAATCAAGACCCCATTCCTACCTGCTTTTCTCAAGGTCTTTCAACCACCTGTGAACTTTAGCAGCCTTTCCCTCTAAAACAACTACAGACCCTCATTTCCAACCTCAATTACTCTCTAACTCTCTGCTCCACTTATTGGGTAAATCCCCCATTCTTCCCACTTGCCCTTCTCCTGTGCTTACTCCCTCTCAAGTCCCTCTCCCAAGCATACAGGCAACCAGAACTATTCATAGTTTTCCAGCTGAAGACACCCCTCATGCGCTGGCATTGCAACTTTCCCAGCCTTTCTAGAAATCCCTTGCAAGTGACACACTGAGATTTAAATTTGCCTTCCAGATATCGACATCCTAGCACTAGTGCACAAGGCCACTACCACCAGGTGAGACACTCAGTTCTCTCCATGGTGAGGCACTGCACTGCCATTTATAAAGAAATCTTCCAGCTCAACAGCAAGCCAACGCGGTGCCTGCTGAAGCTGAAAGAGTGGCCAGTGCCAGGACAACCAAAAACCTCCCCAAAAAGACAGCAAGTCATCCCCACCAGCCTTACCCATGCACACCCATCCAAAAAACTCCGTTGCAGCTAACAGGAGCTTTTCCATACACTTCAGTAGGCTTTGACTGAGCTGGAACACCACCCTCTCTCAGCAGTTGCAGTTCATTTGTTCTGTAATTCAGCACAGCATTGCTTTGAAAAAACGTCTTTCTAATGCTTTTTTCCCGCAACTGGCATAATGAGGAATAATAAGCAGGTGCTTCTGAACACAAACCCAGAACAGCAGGAGTATAATACTATAAACGAAGCAATTAAGTAACCACACTACTGACTGTTTATTGACAAGCTTTATTAGAGCTGACTTTCCATGTATAGAGGTTTCCTAGTAAGTATAAATCTGAATCAAAGTGCAACCCCACAGTAAGAAATCTTTATTCGCACAAAAAGATACAAACAACTAGTATTTCAAAGAACGTCCTAGTTAGTACACAAAATACCAAAACCAGGCAAAAATAAACCAAGATGAAAGACTAGCAGCAAAAAGAATTCTAGTTCTCCTTCAGCACAGTTTGTGTGCTTCCACATTTCTCTTGGAAACAGAGTATAAAGAGAATTCAATCAATTTATATATGAAATATCCTACCAAAAATATAACACTGTGTAAAGAAAGTTAGTAGTACAAATTTGGGGAGAAAAAAAATAAGAAAAAGGAGAAAATAGTAGATGTAATATTAAAAATCTCAAGTGTAAACTTTACTGCTGCTTTAAAATAAAAACCAACAAAAGTCACATGGGTATTTCCGTTTGGCTTAGCAGCCAGGAAAATAAGAAAAGCTGATTTTTTTTTTTTTTAAGTGCTTAACCACCATATCCAAAAGTAATGACTTTCAGACCTACTTAACATGAATGTGCTCAAAAAGCCACTGCTTACAGTATAAAAGCTGTCATTCTGAAACGCTGCACGAATGAAAGATTGCTTTGAACAGCTCTCAATCATATGATGTCCCAAATCAATGTAATGCTATTAGAGCAGGCAGCTGAATAAGTCCCAGAAAGTTGAAGTTTGAGAATAAGAGATATAAAAAATAATGTTGTTTTTTCTCCCAAAGGCAGCATGCCTCTCCCAGCAGCAAGAAGGTAACTTTATGTAACAAGCAAGAGAAACACAGTTTTATGTTATTGTTGTAAACTACCTAGAACAAACTGACTGTTGACCTAGTAATTCACATGTTTAACAGAGGGAGATAATATTTCTTACTGATAAAATACAAAAAGGCAATCATGTGGGTGGGACCAACCACTAACACAGTATTTCACTTAATATTAAACATACTGTCCTTGACTTTAAAACTGTCCTATCTCAAAAAAAAACACAAAAAAACAAGATAAACAGAAAACCCATGACTTGAGCTTTAGGACTGTTTTGTTACACTGTTATATATTTATTAGAGCCTTAGTGCAAAGGAAAAATTCAACATTCGAGGCTCTGAAGCAAGTCAAATATGTAAGACTGTTTCATAGGGTTTTTTGACAGATGTCAGACACAGATCCCAAGAGAGATTTAAATGTTTATCTGTAATGGTGATCCGTTTCTATCTCAAGGTTAGAAAACACATTTAAAAGTGGAAGAAAAGATTTTGGCAGTCACTAACCTCAAGTACAGCTATAAATTGTTTCAATCTCACCACTCTCCTCAGCCAGGGCTATCATAACCAAATTGCACCATAGGTATTGCTGCAGCTGTTGAATTTTGCCCACAGCCTGTCAGTAGCACTATCCATCCCTGCAGTTATTGTACGAATTTCTCCGTCAGCTTTGGAATCCTGCAAGCTTGAATTTGTTTACATTCATCTGTTTCACAGGTCTAATTTTCGAAACTATTTATTGAAAATCATAAATTCTCAACACAGTATCTTCATTGTCCTTCAGGACAGCTTTTTAAGTTAAAGAACCCCCTGGTTCATTTGCCACTAAAATACATATTATCTAGAAAAAGTAACTTCTTCCCTACAAAGTTCCTGTAAACACCACTATATTAAGCCATAGCAAGCTCTAGACCAGGAAATTCAGCATCTCCAGTGACTTGACTTCACCTCACTTCTCCTTTACAAAAGCAAAAAAAAATAACAACAAACCACCTTGATAATCAAAAAGGAAAGGAAATAACACAATAAACAGACAAACAGTGAAGCATTCAGTTACCCAAGCAGACATCTAAAATAAGCCTCTGAAAATTTAACATTTGAAAAGCAATCGTTTTAGTGGTGATAGCGTGCAAATCACTAAATCTGCTGCCGGCTTCAGAGATGGCTGAATACTGTAGTCATCAATGATTATTATTCATCTCTAGCACTGGCAGCTCTGTTGCTTTTGTTGCTGGCTTTGGACATTGTATAGTACCACTTCCTCCACATGTTTCATGCCTTGTATTTTTTCTCCCCCAACAGAGACCAGCAGCATGACTTTAGAGAGAGGTAACAGAAGGATGGGAACTTTTCTTTTTTAAAGGTCTCCTGTCCATCCCAACTCTGCCAAAACTGAATGTTATGTGGAATTAAACATAATGTTTCAAGCAGGAACATCAAATATTATTTCAAGTTTTGTCTGTCTCTGAAAATTGCCTCAAAAAGATTCAGAATCTCAGGTTTCTGTGAAACAAATACAATAAATTAAAGAAAAAAAAAACATGCAAGGAAAGTGTAACTGTTCTATGGATAAGAAATACAAAATCTTAGAAACAGAAAAACACCAGCTTCAGCCCAAGACTGAAAAAACCACAGATTTTTCAAAACCAGAGTCCATACAGTGTCACACAGCCCTGCCTTGTCATGTTTGTTAATATCCTCGCTTAGAAGTCAGACAGCATTTTGTTTAACTTGTGTTGCTCTGTATCATTACACTAAACCATAATTAACTCCTCTTTTGTGCCGGCCTCATTCCAACACAATTGTACCCACTGTATACCAGCAGCAGTTCTCAGGTTTTGTTTTGCAGCTCAGCTGTATTTTTCTTGGATATTCACAAGACTGGCATTTGACTGGATGCGCTTGGCTAGAAAGGGAAAAATTATATGAAAATTAAACACAAAGAATTCCACAAAACTAGTCTCACCACTCCCTCTATTTATCTGACACAGACTTGCAAACAGCTTTCTGTTCATGTCCAGAAACTTTAATGAAAAGATATGGCTGAAGCTCTTTACTACCCTTCTTCAGGGGACAGCAGCAGACTAATAGTCGCTATTAGCGCCGTCAGCACAGCTGCAGGCAGATCTGGCTGGGCCCCCTCTCGCACAAGAGCCAAGCAAGTCCCTGGCACCACCCAACTCCAACAGTGAAACGCCGGCACCATCACTTACGCAAAATGAGTATCCGTTTCTTCTGCTTCGAGTGAAGGAAGCTACTAAGATAAAAAACAATAGGTAGGAAGAGAATAAAGGATGAAACTGCAATCACTGGGACTGTATCACTGCAGGGAACTGAACAGTTGAAAGTCCTGCTCCAAAGCTTCCGAGTGATGTTCATCTAAAAGAAAAACATAAGCAAGCTGTGAAAGCGAGCACACTCATTTTTGCTGTGCTGCATGGCAAACACTTAGGACTGAAGACATTCAAGTGTTCAAACATGACTTCAGAAAAATAACACCTTAACAGATCTGCCCCCAGAAGCAAGCAAGCAAATCCCTGGAAACACAGAAACAGACAATTTACATGAAGCCAAAATTTCCCATCAAAACTTCTACAAACCAGACTATAGTCAGATACATTGTAGGCATTGCCACATGCCTGTTCATACTTTCGACAGCACACCTTTTGCCCAACCACTTAAAACCCCACAGTAAAACAAAGCTTTTTCCAAACGTACATCCCTAATGCTGAGGACCCCTAGAAACAGCTGCTGCAATAAGGAATCAATTATTACATTGGCTAGAACAGCAGCAGTAAAGCTTCGCATTAAAAGCTAGAAGATTAAGACTTTTTTTTTAATCCATCCCCTTCGCAGCAACAAGAAATTAAAGTGCAGCTACTTAAACTCGAATACACTCGGGTGATCGAGAGCTTCAGTCATGCTCCTGCTGCACTGACTGAAGACAGGACCTAGCAAGACAGTCCCACCGGGATAACTTCTTCCTCACGGGACATCAGCCTGACAAAGGCACTGCAGCCAGTACTGTCCCACACCGAAAAGGAAAAGGCAATCCCTAGCAAGACAAGTGCAAATGGCTCAGATTAATAAAGACCTCCATGAGAAGGCCTCCCTGTTAAGTACTAATAAATACTTACTGCATCTTCCACGTCGATACACAAGTGTGCAGAGTGCCCAGACTCACCACCTTGCCTGTTCATCCTTTGCAAGCTGTTATACAGATCATTCAACATTTTGTAGGTTTCATTGCAGTTTTTACATACTTCGGTGTAGTTATTTGGTGACAGATAGATGGTTTGTCCCTAGGGTTATAAAACTCTTTATGAATGCTGTTTTAAGGCATTATAAAAAAAAAAAAAAACACAAAACAACACTAGAGTCAAGTTTGAACCAAAATCCAGATTTCTAGCATCCTAGATTGAGCAGAGGCCCAGACAGGCAACTCACATGAGAATGCAGGAGGAAAAGGGACCAACTCTAATTCACTAGGGGCAGGATCCACTTCCTCCAGGTTCTGCATCTCAAACTGTTCTTTGAACTAGTAGCTTTTTTAGTTAAAGACTTATTTCTGAAGTACCAGTTCCCAGGAAGAATAAAATAACATTTAATTACTAGTAATTCTTTTTTTTGAGTCAGAGATATCAGGTTCCTTAATAGGTTTTTCGTTGTTGTTGTTTTTGTTTGCCCATATCTAACAACCGTTAGGTTGCTGCTGCTGAACTATATTGACCAGGACAGACTGTGCTAGGGTAAGCAATCCTTCTCATTTGTGGCCTTCGCTGCTCCCGAATGCAATACAACACACCTGAAAACAAAACTACAATCTCTAAAGATATTCCAACCCAGCAATGGTTGTACCAGCTACCCACCGACCACTAAATTGAGTCCTAGTTCAGACACCTGAAGTGATGGATAGGCCAGTCCACACTGCTCCTGACCAAGGCCTAAAAAGGCACATTTCCTAGATACCATTAGTAATAAAAAAAAAGCAGATAGACAGTTTCCTCAGAGATTGTCCCATACCCACCATTTCCCATTTTTACTATTGAAAAAAATCCCAGAACTTGGCCAGTGTCTGATTGAAATGGAACACATGCAGTTTCTTAGGCTATTTAGGGCATTGGCTTTGAGGACAATTACCTTTGCAATATGGACAAACCTTAACTACCCACAATTTTACTAGTCAAAAGAATTGTTACAGTGATTTAGGGTAGGTGGTCTTTCTGAACTAGTCTGTATTCTCAAAAGGTTATTTAAAGATTGAATTGTTAAGTCAGACGACAACAACTTCAGAGACACAGCATGCAGACATGCCATTTCTTACTATATAATTATCAACTATTGTGATTGATAGAGATTCCAATGTGAAGCAGCATTGCAATTACATACAAAGTGAAGTCAAGGTGAATATCGATTAGAATTCATTTTAGGCTCTCGATCTGTGAACATCTGCATTTTACAGATCATTGCTTTATCCACCCAAAATGCACAAACTCACCAGCAGTTTATTTGCCTAATCTGTAGCTGCAGTTTATTCAGCATAAATAAGATTTTGCTAGCAATTAGAGGATTCAGTGCTTCCCTTAAATACATAGCATAAATACCTGAAGGTTATGTTCAAAACATGTCAGAGACTTATTGAATAAATCCAGGAATTCTACAGTAGAATTTGATAATCCCTCACTGTTGTTCTTTAAACAATCTGTCAAAGAGAAAGAAAAACATCAGGATATTCTCATTTCTAACATTTCCATAGCCGACAAGACCCAGACACTCCACTCCCGCAAAAAGAGCTCTCGACTACAGAAGACAGGTCTAGTCAACACTGTGGTTTCCTTATCTGCCTGCCATTGATGTCTCAGACCTGCTGACCTAACTCTTCATCGAGAACATATTTCAGAATTAATTGGCCTTGATTAAGTGAAAGATGAAGACTATCATCAAGAGCTTTCTGAAGAGGGTGTCTGAATTATCACCGGACTTTAAGATAAAACAAGACATTACTTTTATTTTCTAGCCTGCGAATCTGGCTTTGCCCAGTAACAGCCACTACATGAAAGCAGAAGCTACCAGCAGCAGAGATGAAACGGAGAGCATCCAGGAAACAGCTAGACCATGAACGCAACAGTAGAAATCAGAGTGTACGTTGTTATTGTTTAAGAAAAGAGCTTCGAGGGGAGCTCTGAGGCTTTCCTCCCAGTCACAGGCTCAACCCTACCACGTTACTGCTTCCATCCATCTCACCCCACTTCAAGTGCTCTAACCAGACAGACCCTTGAAAACAACAGTAGTTTGGGAATTTAGACGTTCAGCAAGAGCACTGGGAGAGCAAGCCAACATCCTAGAAAATTCTCCTGAAAGAAGGAAGCGCCATCGGTACTGAAGGTGAGCATTCAGCTGGACACTGGGCAGGCAGCACACAGGTCACAGGATAAGCATGGCAGGACATCGCAGACCACAGAGCTGCCCCCGTCCTGCCCTTCCAGCCTTCACACAGCCCAGACCCACAAATGAAAACAAACTCTTTGGGCTTTCAAGAGACACTGCAGCAAACCCAGTATCTTTAACACTCTACTCCATAGTGCTATTCCCACTGTTTTCTAGTGCACCTATTAGTAGGTTGCACCCTATTAGTGTAGGGTCCCACTTCCACGCCAGGGGAATGGCAAAAAGCCATAGTTTAGCTGTAAGCGTGGCACAGCACCATCAGCATGGGGACGGTGAGATACAGGGATAGAATTGGACACCCTCCACACATAAAATGAAATAAAAACCATGGCTGTGGAGGCAGATACTGTTCGACGTGTAAGCATTCCAGAGTTACTGACTTTATTAACAAACAAGGAAAAGTTTTTTTAAAAAAAGGAAGACTAGGAAAAACAGAAGAAACCACAATGAAGCCAAGGAAAGTCTCCAGCAGGGTCGTAGATCACAAAGAAATCTAACATGACTAACTTTAGAAAGAACAGCCTAAAAGAAATATTTATATAACAACTAATTTCTCTGACAGGCTAGTGCCCTCAGATTTTGGCAGTATCCCTTACAAAATACAAAGCTCCTGTACGCCTCATTGGAGTGGCTCTAGTTTAGGATTTTTGTGTTATATACTGTCTATATTTAAACAAATACATACAATTCTGATTTGTGCAAATTTTAGGGGCAAAGTTAAGCTAAGTCACAACAGTAGCATAAAAGCTACAGAATGAGTCACGTACTTGCACAGTTGGCTGCCTCCCAGGTTTCGTTAAAGAACGCCGAAAGGGTCACAACTGTCTGCAGCCTGTCTGAGGTTAAGATGCTTTTGGCACAATTGTGGCTCTCAGAAGAATTCTAGAAGAAAAAAGGAAACAACAGAAAAAGCAATCAAGTGTTAAAAATACAAAGGGAAATTTTTGAAATGTATTTTAGGCAAGCACACTCTCATCACACTGATATTTCTAGACTAGGCAGAGCAGAACTGACAGAACAACAAAAATCTTTTGATCCTCCAAATCATACTATGAGCAACAGAGCTTACTGCATGTGGTCTTTTAAGACCTACTTGGACTGCGTGAAGTCAGTCAAAAATATGTGACTGGGAGAGAAAAAAAAAAGGGCAAGCAAAGAGACAAGGCTTCCTCTATCAGGTAGCTCATATTCATCCATTTCCGACTGCCCCAGGAGCCAGCTCAAGGTGCAAGTAGCCAGAGAGAAGGACATAAGACTGCAGGAATATATTTGAAGGAACTGAACCAACAGACCAGTCTCAAAACAAACCAAATCCAAAAAGCAGAAAACAACGTCCAAAACCGCTGTACCAACGTACTGTATCAGCAGCAAACTTCCCCCCGATGCAGCAATACCAGGAACACAGTCCTCCACAGAGCAGTGCCCACGGCTGCTCCCCCAAGCCTATGACCAGGCTGGGCTCTCGTCCTCCCCAGACATGGATACCAAGCTCACCTGGTCTTAGGGAGCCACCCAACGCATCCCATCCTCAAAGCAGGTGCCGGCACAACTCATACAGTAACTTATTCTCTGGACCAAATTAATACAAAACCACCAAAAACAAACCACAGAGCGACTATAAAAGCAGTTACAGAATAAACATGAAGTATCCCTACCAGAATTCAGAACAATGTTTTTCTCCTTCAAAGCTTTATTTTCTCCCTCAAATCATTGATCCGAACCCATGATCTCCAGTCTCTGACTCCTGTGCTCTAGCTCCTGGTTTCTGGCTGCTAAATTGACTTAAGCACTTCTCAAAATTGCCGAAGCTGCCAAAAGCCTTTGATAAGCAACGTGGGACATACAAGAAAATAATCTCTTTAATGAGAGACATGCTCCTCTCAGAGTGTTACGAGAGATCCAGTTTCTGCCTCTCCTTGTTAAAACAGGTTTATTTTTTAAGTAAGAAGTTTCTCTTGGAGACTCAACTGCCTAAGTTGAATATTGCCACATCTGGTAACTTCTGTGTTCACCCACTTTCGCTTCTACTAAATTACAAACAGATATGCAAGAAATTTGTTTGTGCAGTAAACTCTCTGGTTGCTTCATGAAGGCCTTTAACTGTGAAACTTCCTCACCAGCTGGACTCATGAGCAGGAAAAAGCACTTCATCAAGTGATGAAGCACTGAATCAAGCAGACCTATATAATTTTGTAAACAAGTTTGTCTAATTTATTCTTTTATTAGTGTAGCAAGGAGGATTTTACATTTTAGAGATGCCCAAAATTTAACTTGGCTGCTTCTTTCACATTGCACTATAACTATTGTAGGATGGCAAAAGGAAAAGCATCAGATATCTGATTATTTGTGATCAATGATTGAGGCTGCAAGAGGTCACCTCCTTTATTTATTTGGTTAGTTAACCCACACACAGAAGGAAGGCCAAACGCTCTGTAATACAGATGTATCTTCATGACCACATAGTGGACCAGTCCTCACATGCTGCAAGCATTCAAGAACAGCAGTTGTAATGAGTTCATGCATATTGTAAGAGCTGGGATATGTCTGGCAACCTAATCCTAGCCAAAACATCATGTTGAAAGGACCCAAGAGAATTACATTCTCGATTTCTCACTTTCACATTACGTAGTCACTGGTATGAAACAACTTCCATATTAGAAACAAATAAACTACAGGTTTGCAAACTGAGACCACTGGCTAGATACTTGCCCTGGAGAGGACAATTATCAAATCACCATCCACACGCTTTTCCAATACAAGCACTGGGGTGGTGAGGGGAAACAGGCAGATGACGCATCAAAACGAGAAAGCAACCCTTCTTCGCAAGACAGGTCACTAAGCTGTGAAATGGTCTGCAGCAGGACACTGCGGTACCAGAAGTTTACCTGGGTTTAAAGAGCAACAGGTTCTTCTTGTCAATGGCGATTCTAAATGCAGATTCAGAAATCCCAAGACTAGAAGCACAATCCAGGGGACACACTGCTATAAACTTGCTCTCTGCTCGTACTCTTACCAGAGCACCCACTTCTGGCCATCAGCAGAGATCAGACTAAGGTCTTTTGGTCTGATTCACTATTGCCATCCTCATATCGTCCCAGGAGCTAACTTTTACAAATGGATAAACTGGATGAGAACACACAAAATAAGTCATGAACCATCTCAACACTAAGAAATTAAAAACAAAACAAAACAACCCAGCAAACTATCAAGAGTTTGGAGGATGTAAGCACAAGACCCAGCTTCTTCAGTCAAGGTTTTCCACTGGTGGAGTCTACAGACTCCAGCCAGCGCTCAGGACTTCTAGTTTGCTGCCACACACTCCCACTAGCTCTGAAGCCAAGAGAATGACATGTGACATGGCTCCCCACAGATGATGTGCATCACACACCACGGCTTCAGAGACCATCAATTTTCCAAGAAGTGCCAGACAACTAAGCTTTGCCAGTGTTCCTCATTACTGCTATACAGCAACAACCTGTGAGCCAGAGCACCACTTTAGATATTGCTACATCAGCCAGCAAGAACAACTCAAGTTTTTCCACTTGCAGAGAAGAGCAAAGCTTTCTTTCTGCAGGCGGAGCTACTTGTCCCTGAACACGCCGGGAGCTGGCTGCACCAACCATGCCACCACACCAGGCAGCAGAAGGCAGCCATCGCTGACAGCAGCTTTTCACAAACATCCCCAGCCTCCATTAAACCACCTTATGCACCCGGTGGGGCTTACAGCGTGGGAACTGACCTTTGCGGGCTGGAGATCCGCCTACCCAAATCACGGGTGCCCCGCTCACCGCGTGA